ACGTAGTCATAGAAAAAAATGAATAGTTTAAAAATAATAAAATAAAGTATTTAAAGACAGACTAAAAGTAATAAAAAAAGAGAATAAGCCATGTAAAGATGGGAAATACATAGGGAGTCTGGATTCTATATACTACTGTGCTGATTTTGAATTTTTGACTGCTGAAGAACAAAAGACAGCTGCTGAGAGACATGGGATTGTGATGAAGACTGCAAAATTGAACCAACCTAGATACTTTAGGGCTATAATAACTTTTAAAAAAGAAGTCAAAATGTATTTGTCAAATGGAAGTCAAAAATGCTTTAGAGAAGAGGTTTTGCTTTTGTTTCCACAGGAAACAAGAGGCTGTGGATTCATTCCAGGTTAATATGGATCAGGTTTGATCAAGGGAGACCTTCTGAAACTTTACAGATTATGTCTATCAACAAAGGTTATAGCTGGTCTTCCCAGGACTTGGCCATTATCTTAATTTTTCTCAGGGACCCCTAAAGATGCTTCTCCCACAGACAACAGAAGCAGTCTAGAGAAAATGACACCCATATTTCCAAGAGGTGGGGTAAATTATATTTGGTCATTTGGTGGGTTATGGGTGTTTGTCATCATTGGGGGGGGGTTGTTTATTAATTGTTACTGGTATTGGTAAGAGTGAAAACTATACAAAGAAGATTAGATACAGGAATCTCCTTCAAAAAAGAAAGAGGGGATATAGGAATAATAAGACAAAAGGAGAAATTGTTGAATTTATTTTAAATAATAGGGTAGATAATTGAATCTACTTTAAACTAAAAAACAACTATTAATCTCATATTTTGTATTTGTATGAACTTTTGTATATTGATACAAATTTAAGGTAATTCTTGTTTTAACATAATATGTATATATATATACATATTATGTACATATAATATAATATATATATTTCTACTCTTGTTTAAAGGATTTTGTATATTGATAAAAATTTAAGGTTATTTTTGTTACAGCATATTATATATATGTTTCAACTCTTGTTTAAGGTATTGTACCTATGAAGTTCATTTAAAATATAAGGTCAAGTTCTAGTTTTTGAAAGCTTTTATTGTAAACTATTTAAGGTAATCAAGAAACATATGTTAGTATTTAGACATCTATAACAATCAAATTTGTAGATATGTTAGGTATGTTTTCTAGATCATATAGAGATATATTTTAAATACATAAATGGTCTTCAAACACTTCAGAGACCTATAGATTATGGCATTTAAAATGTTTTGTTAATTTAGGACTTCCCATGACAATGAGACACATCTTCTCCTGGCAGCACCAATTTGCTTCATAAAAGGATGAGAGGCATCCAAGAAACTCCACAGTTTGCTTTCATTGTGGCAAGATTAGTCATTTGGGCAGGAAATTGCTTCTACCTTGACTGCCTGACAGCACACTATGTAGACTGGACATGCAGAACCCACAGAAAAGTGACTGCTGAAATTTGCCAAAACAAGGTGGGATGGTCCTTCAAATTTCCTGCTCCACTGAAAAATCTGCCAGATATTTTAGACTGAAGGCTGAAGATGGATGCCCCATTGTAGAGGAATTTTGGGTAACTGTCCAGGCAGTCAGATGTCTCTGGTGTTTCTAGAGTTTTGTAAGTTACTTGCATTGCACTTCCTGTTTATTCAGGTAATATTACATCCTTCTGGGTCTTTGATGGAGTTAAAGACTAAATAATTAGAGTTTTGGTTTTTCGTAGTTATGATAGAAAATAAATTAGGTGTAAAACTTTGGACTCACTAAAATAAGATAGACAATGTAGTATTTTCTCTGAATTTGCTAAATGCAAATGGACTGAATATTATAAATGAATTCTTTTTTTTTTTTTTGGTTTTTCGAGACAGGGTTTCTCTGTGTAGCTTTGCGCCTCTCCTGGAACTCACTTGGTAGCCCAGGCTGGCCTCGAACTCACAGAGATCCGCCTGGCTCTGCCTCCCGAGTGCTGGGATTAAAGGCGTGCGCCACCACCGCCCGGCTATAAATGAATTCTTGCTTGATAACTGTTTTGTTGTACATAGTTTTACTATGTTGAAGTTAAAACCTTTCATTTTTATTTAGACAAAAAGGGGGAAATGTTGTAGAATATTATTTTAAGATGTGTTACATTTGTTTATGCTGTGGAACCTTTGTTTAGTGATGCAAAGATGTGTTGCATTATTTTATGCAGCATTTGCTTAACTTTGTGAAGCTGTGTCTAAAACAACTAATTGGTCTCATAATGGTCTGAATGGCCAATAGTGAGGCAGGAGAATTGATAGGTAGGGCTGGCAGGCAGAGAAAATAAAGTGGAGAAATCTGGAAGGAGCAAAAGAAAGAGTGAGTCCATGTGGTGGTGGCGCACGCCTTTAATCCCAGCACTTGGGAGGCAGAGCCAGGCAGATCTTTGTGAGTTCGAGGCCAGCCTGGTCTACAGAGCAAGATCCAGGAAAGGTGCAAAGCTACACAGAGAAACCCTGTCTCAAAAAATCAAAAAAAAGAAAAAAGAAAAAAGAAAAGAAAAGAAAGAAAGAAAGAAAGAAAGAAAGAAAGAAAGAAAGAAAGAAAGAGTAGGAAAAGAAGGGGCAAGCCACTCAGCCACACAGCCAGCCATGGAATAAGAAGGAAATAAAGACATGCAGAAACGTAAAAGCCTAACAGCAAAAGATAGATGGGATAATTTAAAGTTAAGAAAAGCTGGCTAGAAACAAGTCAAGCTAAGGCCGGGCATTTATAATTAAGAATAAGCCTCTATGTGTATTTTACTTGGGAGCTGGGTGGTAGGCCCCCCTAAAAGAGTAAAGAATAAAGAGCAAAAAACAAAACAAAACAAAAAACACCAAAAACCAAGAAGGCTAACTCTTGGTTGTGGGAGGAGCAGGCTGAACAGTCCCATACAGGGCTCCTAACCTTTCCTCATATCAGTATAGCCAGTGGGTATTGGAGGAAGAAATGCTGTGGCCAGGAGGCCATGATGCCCCACTCAGGTAACAGCTTTAATGAGGGACACTGGGCTAGGATCTCTTCAAGTCATCTGCCATACTCCTGGTGGAACCTCCCCAGGTCCCTGAGGACCCCAGGCTTCCTGCCAACTCACCAGGAGAGTGTTGCTATGAGGCAGAGATTGTCCACAGCTAAAGGTATACCTCTGGGGGCCAGGAACTTTGTGTCCTATAAGTCACAGAGAACAGTGTCTCCTTAATTGGCCACTAGAGACTGCAAGTTTCAGCTCTACCAGGAAGAGTATCCTCCCCAACAGAGTGAACTCAACTATAGACACCCACACAGTGCCCAAACAGCAGGTATGAGAGAGGAAGAAAGACCAGCAAACCCACCTCACACATCACAAGACACAGAAACTGTTGCAGCCAGGACTTGCACACCCAGACACTCATGAGGCTCATGAGTCTACAGCTCTGCCCATATGACCTCATTCCATTGTGCAGAAAGCCATAGCTAGCCTAAAGGAGGACAAGGAACACTTGGTGTCTCTCTTCAGCACAGACCAGCCTCAATACCATGAGGACCTGAGGAGCATGGGTGATTGTATCTGACTTCGTCTGAGTCCTAAGTCTCACCTTGACAAGGTAAGATCAACATGTTACCTATGAAGGATGTTGAAAGTAGGAGATACTTTGAAAGTAGGAGTGTTGGGGACCTTCGGGGTGGGTGCTCAGCAATAATGATGGACTAGCTCTGTAGACAAAGCTAGCCAATTGTGGTCAATCCTCACATTAGTCTAGGTCAGGGATAGCAGTTCTGGATGCCTCCAAAGTGTTTACTGTCTTGAACTCCAGCTCCAATTCTACATCCATGTGGGATGAATCTCTGCATCCACCACAGGACATGATGATGATGCTGGCTTAGGAGGGGCAAGGCTGAGATGAGCACAGACTGTCTCTTCACAGTCATTGTACCCTGATCTCCCACAGCAGAGCTGTCCATGGCCACCTGCCCCTTCCACTTATGTCTCTAGATGGATTACATCCTTGGCAAGCTGGAGAGATTATGCTTGTCCTTGCTCCAACAGGAAGCATAGGACCCACGATGACATGGACATATCTATACACATCACACTGAGTACAAAGGAAACCCATGAGGTAAGTACTTAGATCCCTGTCAGGTATGTCAAGTGTGAGCACAAATCTTCATGCATACCTTTAAGATTTCAGTAGGAAAGTTAACAATGTAGTTTATGGTGGGCTCAGCTAGAGCCTTCCAGATTCCATGTCCTCACTGTAGGCAGTGTATGATAGTTCAACAACTGACCCATACAGGGACCTCCCTAAGCTCCCAGGATGATGTAGAAGAGACACTCCATTCCTCTCTAGCCAGGCTCCTATCTCCAGCATCCTCTCATATCCCTCCCCATACAAACAGCAGCAATTGAAGCTAGCCCACAGGACATTTGTATGTATTTCAGACTGTGGACATAATGAGAAGAGAAAGTGACCAAGAATGGCCCAAGGACACTGGGCAGAGGCCAGCTTCATCTGTTTTTAAATGGCCAAGAGTAAGACCTTGTGGACCCCCAAAGCTGAGGTTGGAGCAGGGAACAGAGCTAGCAGTGAGATCAGGTTAGAGGCCATGAGCATGTCCCACATATGCCTGTGACACACTCCTGGTGTTATTCAGGACATGGGGCTGCCCCTCACCATAATCCCCAACATCTAGACATTGGCAGGAACCCCTCACATCAGACAAGCAGAGTCTGCCACTGTGTGCCAGCATTTGAGCCACAGCTGCTGAGGTGAGGTCATAGTCCTCTGAGCTACAAAATGATATAAAACTGAGTGTGGGAAGGGCAGTTTCCTGTTCTGATTCCATCCTACAAAGGAAAGAATCACCCAGCCCAATTTGTTGGAGGACAGTGGGTCTCCATGAACGTTTTTGAATCAGTTAGATGAATAACTGGGGGGTGTTTAACGGGACTCAGGAGATAGCTGCATCAATGGCACTGCTCAAGAGTGTCCCTTGGAAGGGAGGGAACAGGGCCCAGAGGCAGGCATGGAAATACTGAAAGGCTGTCTGTACTCTGAGAGCCACTAAGGTGGGAAGCCACTTTGTATCCTCAGAGCACAGCTCAGGCTTGTACACAGGGAAGGCTCAGCACAACCTCATGAATTAAGTAAATCTGAGGAAATGTCCTCTTTCAGGCCACATCAGCTCATCTGGAAGGAGATCAGAGTAACAAATGAACCTTTGCACAGTGGACAGCATGTCACCAACAGGCTCCTGCAGCCTGTGGAACATCCAATGGCACCAGTGAGATCTGCTCCCTCTCGCTGCCTCCATTGCCATCCTCTCTACATCTGTCCATACTCATGGCCACAGCAGTCCACAGAAATGCAAGTCTCTCAGTTGTGTCTTGTGGGGGGTTTGTGCTGGTGGGATTTGGGGGAGGTGCAGAGATCCAGGCCCTGCTCTTTGCTGTCTTCCTGGCCTTGTACGTAGTGACCGTCCTGGGCAACCTCACCATGATCGTAGTCATCACCCTGGATGCTCGTCTACACTCCCCCATGTACTTCTTCCTCAAGAACCTGTCCTTTGTTGACCTCTGCCTCTCTTCTATTATTGTGCCCAATGCCCTGGCCAACATCTTCTCCTCTTCCAAGGCCATCACCTTTGCAGGATGTGCCACTCAGTTCTTCTTTTTCTCCTTGCTGGCTGCTACTGAGGCTGTCCTCTTAGCTGTGATGGCCTATGACCGTTTCATGGCCATCTGTAATCCCCTGAGGTACCCTGTGACCATGTGCCCTATGACCTGTGCCCGTTTGGTTCTGGGTACCTTCTGTGTTGGCTGCCTGAACTCCATCGTGCAGACCAGCCTCACATTCCAGCTGCCCTTCTGCAGTTCCAACCGCATTGACTACTACTTTTGTGACGTGCCCCCACTGCTCCGGCTGGCCTGTGCAGATACAGCTCTCAACGAGCTTGTCATGTTTGGCATCTGTGGGTTCATTATTGTCTGTACTGTTCTTGTGGTCATCATCTCCTATGGCTACATCACAGTGACCATCCTCAGAATGCACTCAGCATCAGGGCGACACAAAGTCTTCTCTACCTGTGGCTCCCACATGACAGCTGTGTGCTTATTTTATGGAACTGGCTTTGTTATATATGGCCAGCCAGGAGGTGTGACATCCATGGAGCAGGGCAAGATGGTGTCCATCTTCTACACCCTGGTCATCCCCATGTTCAATCCCCTCATCTACAGTCTGCGCAACAAGGATGTAAAGGATGCCCTGAGGAGGCTGGGTCAGAGACACAGTCTGGTGAAGGAGAGTGGCTGGTGTCATCATCAGAAACTATGCTAAGATCATAGAAGAAAAATGTCCTTGGGAGATAGAGTGTCTTATTTTGTTTTTATGTCTACCTATCCTGTTCTCTTTGTCCTCTTGTTTCCTACTTTCTACCTTCCTGGCTTCTTTTCTTCATTCATTCATGTATTCATCCACCCATTAATCTACCAACATACCCACCTGTTCACTGTCTACCCTGGCTTTCTTGAATGTATATTATTGGGCAAGCATTTACAGAATGTGAATAAGGCACATTCTTTGCCACCAAATGGCCCATAGTTGGAAGAATCCTGAATTCCTTTAGTTTGACAGAGGACAAAGCACTATAACAGGAACTAGATTTGGGGACCATTGTCAACATCTTCCAGTGAAGCTGCATAGCTGCAGATTTCTCTACGGACCTTTCCTTTTTTTCATCACTGAATCTAATGTCAGTGTGGTAGGAACTTCCCTCTGAGCATCTAAGACTGTGGCCCTTAGAAGCTATGTGTTGGCCCATCCTTACATTGATCTAGTATGAGGATGGGCTAAAAGGATAGCTCTGCAGACTTCCTCCTCAGCTTTACAATATTGCTGCTTCCTCCTCCTTCCTCTGTTCCTGAAGCTGCTCTCCTCATAGGGTATCACAGTGTACTGCTGGAGTCATGAGGAACCTACCTACATGCAATTGGCTCCCAGCATATCCCTTTAACCTCCAGCCTTGGGTTAGAGAGGAAGTCACAGTTATATTCACAGTTCAGGGAACCATTAAAATCTGGCCTGGCAGCTTGTGATGATATCAAGGTGTTGTTCATCCTCCAAATAAGGATGAAGCCTTGGTGAACTCCACTTCACAATAGCCTGCTGTGTTCTGCACATAGGACTTCTCTGTGTCTCTCCCTGCCCTGTGTGTCTGATGCCAGCCCTCAGTTCCATGCTGCTCTTGCCTAGGAGACCTTCAGGGACAGAACTGACCTCTAAACAGGGCTGAAGGCTTCCTCCAAGTTTCCCTCTCTTGTCATGATATATTGTGTATCCTAATAAAATTTGCCTGAAGATCAGAGAACAGAACACTAGATTAAACATAGAGGCCAGGCAGTGGTGGCACATACCGTTAATCCTAGCACTCGGGAGATAGAGATCCATCTGGATCTCTGTGAGTTCAAAGCTACCCTGGACTACATGAGATTGACTCAGTCTAGGAGAGAAACAGAGCTGGGCAGTGGTGGTACACACCTTTAATCCTAATACTTGGGAGTCACATGCCTTTAATCCCAGCACTTGAGATCTCACACCTTTAATCCCAGTGTTTGGGAAGCACACATGCCATTTATCCCAGCACTAGGAAGGAAGTGACGACTGAGTGGAGAAAGGTATATAAGGCATGAGGAGACAGGAACTAAAGGGTTTTGGGCTGGAGAGCCTCAGAGACATTTAGTCAGAGGAACTGTGGAGTTGGCGAGGTGAGACATGGCAGTGGCTTGTTCCTTTGTCTCTCTGATCTTTCAGTATTTACCCCAATATCTGGCTCTGGGATTTTATTTCTAAAAAGGCCTCTTAGAATTCGTGTTATATCTGGTATCCAACTTTTGGGGCATGGATTCATGAAAAAGCCACTTTCCAGAGCTACACACGGCCAGAGTCCCTACCCTGCAGGGTAAGTTTTTGTTTCGGCCTCTCTGCAGCAAACTCCATAGGATTTTTGGGCTCCAAAACCCACAGGAGTTAGCAGCTTTCACATACTTCCTCTGTGCAGACAACTGGCTCTTTTGCTCCTTTCCTCTCCTGGTGGGTTCTGGCTTTCCTTGGGCCCCCTCCTCGGGCTGCTGCCACACCGTCATCTGAATCATCATTATCAGCAGATTTGGTGAGTCAATTGGGATTTCTTAAAGAGAGGAATTAGTTAAAAGGAAGTTTTTTCCCACATTAAAAAATGGCAAACATTGTTACAATGGAGGGAGTTTGGTCTCTGTTTGATAATACGACTGATGGTCTGAAAATGGAGTAATTAAATGAGAGGATAATTAATGTTGATGGGATTTATGTAATGTCAATTATAAATATTATTTGTTTGATCATTTCTGTTTTATCATTTAAAAAGTTGGTTAATATGTGTGCCAGGATAAAAGTTTTAGAAAAACTTGTTCAAACTGATCATAGAGATATTTAGACCAAGACAGAGAAATTTAAAGAACCAATTTCAACATTGCATTATAAGGTTATGGAGAAATAGCCAAAGCTTTCAAATAGCCAACCTTAATTTATCCAGTAACCTTACAGGAACTACCAAATGATAGATATCCCCAAGACTGGGTACAAGCTGATTGGACTCCTGTGCAAATGTTAGATTTGAGGAGATTCAAAGAAGCAATAGTCTCATATGGTATCCACTAATCTTTTGTGAAGCAGATGTTAAGCTCATGGTCAACTTATAATAGAATTATCCCTCAAGACTGGGGAGATTTGGTTTTAGCAGTCTTACAGACTGTTCCCAAATTACAATGGAGGACCTGGTAGAAAGATGAAACTAAGACAATTGAACAATGGAGTAGGTTAGAGGTCTTAAACTCTCTCAAGATCAACTTCTTGGAGAAGGTGATTATGCTGATATACAAAGATAATCTTTATATGATGATCACACCCTGGCTTTATGCTACATGGTAGCCTTGAATACTTGGGATAGAATTGAAAAAGTAGGAAAGAAAATTGAGTCATTTACTAAAGTTATACAGGGCCCAAAGAAACCTTCACTGATTTCTTACAAAGATTGACTTCAGCAGCAAATATAATGATATCAAATCCAGAAGCTAGAAAAATAATAGCTGAATCTCGGGCTTTTGAAAATGTTAATGCACAATGCAAAAGAGTAATTAGACCAATAAAGGCAAGATCAGCACCCTTGGAGGAATGGATCCAAGATACAATTAATATTGAATCTCATGACCATGATGATGCTTCGATAGGAGTGGTGATTTCCAGAGGTTTGAAGAAAAATAGTAATGTCAAATGTTCAATTGTGGTAAATTAGGTCACCTAAAAAGGGACTGTAAATAGGGCATTCCTAGAAATAATGCTTTTTCAAGGAATAATCCCGATAGAATGCCCCTCCTTCTGGATTATACAGAAGATGTGGCAAAGGCAGACATTGAACTAAGGAATGTAGGTCAACAAGGGACAGACAAGGTAATCCCTTGCCTTTGGCATTGGGGAAACTCCCTGAGGGGCCTCTCACAGGCTTCCATGTCAAATTCCATTCAGTCCTTTCCTGCCATCATGGAAGAAACTCCTTACCAGAGCAGTTAAAGAACCTAATGCCTGTTGTAAAAAAACATATTTCTCAGGGTGATAGAACAGCTATAGAAGAGAGAACAAAAAATTCAGGAGAAATCATAAATCAAAATTGATGAAGAATAAAAAGGGAACCTCTCCAAAGTTAGGGTTGGGGAAGGGTTTTGTTTTAATCTTCCTTCAGGAGAAGGAAGGCTAAGGAATCTGAAGAACACTGGACAAATGAGATATTTGAAGAAAAAGGACAAATCATCCAGAAAAAAAATGTCCCACAGAAAAGATTTTCTGCAGTGAACCATGACCATGCCTAACAGCAACCTTTGAAATCTCCAAAAAGTATGATGAGACTCCACAACAATGATTCCATCAGGACAATGCTAATGCCTTTAAGCTGACAAACACCACCCAAACATTGGCTTTGGACTACAAACTGCTCAGGGCAATATTGAGATGGCTAGCTGAAATGATACAGCTTCACAGACTACTCCAATCAGGACTTGACCATAATCCTAAATTTTCTTTGTGTCCCCATAAGACAACCAGTGCCCCTAATCCACAAGAAGTAGTCTAGAAAACTATACCCACATTCCCAAAAATGGGTTATGGATGTTTGTCTTTGTTTAGGGATTAGTTAAAAATTGTTATTGGTCATAATCAATCTCTTTCTAAAAGAAGAAAGGGGGATATGACATAGAAATATATAATATAGAAATGATAGGATAAAAAGTAGATTATTGAGTCTACTCTAAAAAATACAGAAATAATAGGATTAAAAGGGTAGATTATTGAATCTACTCTGAAAAGAAAAAAGGGAGGATATGGATATGATAAGATAAAAAGGCAGATTATTGAATCTACTTTTTAAAAGCAACTACTAATTTTAAATACTTTACATTGGATTGGATTTTTGTATATTGTATACAAATTACGTATATTGATACAAATTTGAGATTGATTTTGTTAGAAAATACTGTACATATATTCCTAATCTTGTTCATGGTATTGTACCTATACAGTTCATTTAACATAATGCAAATTACTAGTCCTTGAAAGTTATTATTACCAACTAATTAGGGTATAAAGAAATGTAAATTAGTAGTTAGTCACCTATTACAATCGAACTTGAAGTCATATCAGGTGTGTTTTCAAGGTCAAACAAATATATTTTAGACAGACAGGTCATCTTCAAACACTTCAGAAATCTAAAGAATATGGCATTTAAGATGTTTTAATAACATAGATTTTTTTTATGACAATGAGAGATGTCTGCTGCTGTGGAATAATGCTTTTGTATACTGGTTTAATAAAACACTGATTGGCCAGTAGCCAGGCAGGAAGTATAGGTGGGATAAGCAGACAAGGAGAATTTTGGGAAGAGGAAGGCTGGGTCAGGAGATGCCAGCCCGCCATCCAGGGAGCAGCACATAATGACACACAGGTAAAGCCACGGAACACGTGGCGACCTACAGATTAACAGAAGTGGGCTGAGTTTAAGTGTAAGAGCTAGTCAGTGGTAAGCCTGAGCTAATGGCCAAGCAGTTTTAATTAATATAAGCCTCTGTGTGTTTAATTGGGTCTGAGCAGCTGCTGACCAGGTGGGACACAGGAAAACTTCTGGCTACAAATGGTGCCGAAACATGAGGCAAGAGTTTCTGCCTAAAACCTGAGAAAGTTTTAAAGAGAGAGAGAGAGAGAGAGAGAGAGAGAGAGAGAGAGAGAGAGAGAGAGAGAGAGAGAGATTCTAAAATGGAACCTAAAACAGCTTTCTAGTAGTCTCTCTCAGGAGGCCAGCCACAGCCTGTGGTCTGGAGCTACTTTATGGTGGGTCTGTGGTGTGTGGGCTTGACCTGCAGCATGGTGGTTTCCTGCAGTGGTTCACAGAGGCTTCTCCAAGCCGCACAGTACAGTGTGTGGTAGCTTTAGCGTTTGCTAGTACAGACAAAAAAAAAGTTTCTGGGCTACACACTGCTTTGATAGAAGCATAGACCCACTGCCTCCCAGAGTCAGCAGAGAGCATGGCTCCCAGAGCTGCAGGTGAATTATCTCCACCATGTTGAAAAGCTGAGATGGGCGGAGTCAGCAGCCAAGGCTGCTGCTTCAATATTAACCACTGCAGTTTAAAGCAATAGATTCACAATAAGGCAGACTCAGGTGGAATAAGACTTTAAATGGTTTACAGCATGCGTAAAAATGTACATAGGCTTGAAAAAGAGAGAGAAAAAGAAATATAGACAGTTATATTAAAAAATAGATACTTTTAGAAAATAGTCTTTAAAGAGACAGTAAAAGTAATATAAAAAATAAGCCACAAAAGATGGAAATCACACAGAGAGTATGGATTATGTTGTCTTTGGGATTTTTAACTGCAGAGAGACATTTGATTGTAAAAGCTGCTGAGTTAAGTCAATATATATATTTTAAAGGTATCTCAATTTCAAAATTAATGTCTAAGGATACGTTGCTTTGGAAAAGAGGTTCTGCTTTTGTTTCCACAGAAGATGAAAACCTGTGAATTGCTTCCAAAGCTAATATGATTTGACCAAGGAAGACCCCTCTGAGAGGCTCAGATGATCCAAATTCCAAAAACAGCTTCAAGGCAACTGGCTCAGAGAATACAACATCACAGACTATTCCAGTCAGCACTTGACCATAATTCTTAATTTTCTCAGGATCCCCATAAGAATATAGCACCCTCTATCAGCAGGAAGTAACCTAAAAAACTATGCCCATATTATCAAAAAAATAGATTATGGATGTTTGTCTTTGTTTAGGTTGTTGGTTACAAATTGTTATTGGTCATAGTCAATATCTTTCTAAAACAAGAAAGGGGGATATGATATGGAAATATAGGATATAGATAATATAGGATAAAAGGGTGATAAAACAAGAGCAACTTGTTTAAAATGTTTTACATTGGTATAGATTTTAGTTTATTGATACAAATTTAAAGTTAATTTTGTTATACTGTATGTATATTTCTACTCTTAAGATATGTTTGTGCAGCTCATTTAAATTGTAATGGATATTTAAAAAATACAGATTAATAATTAGTCTTCTATGATAGTCAA